TTTTTTTTTTTTTTTTTTAACCTATCAGTGTTTGTGTTTGTGTGAGAGAATAAACACAGAGTGAAGCAAAGGACCACGAGCTCCAGTTTTCATAAAAGCCAGTTACTAAACAGAGAATTCATAGTTATCAATGCTTTCAAACAGGTGAACAATTTGTATTAGTTACTTTTCATTAAAAACTATATTGCAAACTATTTTTATTTTTCAACATTATTCTTCAATAACAGGTTTATTTTAGTGTAATTTTTGTTGAAAGTTTGTATGGTCTACAGAAGCTTTCCCAAAGAATAGGGATATTTACCACTCAAATATGCTTGCCTTTACTTGGCTTTAGTGATATTAATAATGCATTCCTTTGGAAAAGTTACTTAATTTCAAAGCAAACATATTTGAGTCTTTAAAAAGTCCTAATTATATGATACTAAATATCACTTTTCTTCCAAAATGGCTACGCCTGCACAGCAAGCTTAGCTTGGTTACTGAGTTCCTATGTTTGTACAATATACTGGATCATAATGAAATGAGCTGGATTCACTTAAAATTCCAAACAAAAGGGGGAAAAAAGAATCAAGGTACAGCTGCTAGACATTTAAGTGACTTGGTTTATCTGGTTTATCATGTCATGTGAATGCAACCTTATCAACCTTACTGGTTTACCTTGTTGGGAAATGCAGAGCCAATCTTTTCTTTTCTTTTTTTTTTAATGGCCTTCCCCAGTTTGGTGGAGAAACAGTCCAGAAAATGCAGGGAGTCCTTTGAGGGCAGAGAAGAGGCAGGTTAGGGCTTCCTGGGGCCCCAAAAGCCAGTGGCTCCCTACCTGCCTTCTGGTACCACCTCTGCACTTTGAAATGTATGCACTGCATAATGTCTAAGCAACCGCTTTGCAACCTTGTTCTCTGCTAACCCATTATCATATCCGAAAGGCACCTGGTTGTATTCTCAGCCCTTAGGCACATTTTCTTACCAGTTTCTGAGTCAATCCAGGTGGAGCCCATTCATATGTAATGGTGTCAAAAGTTGGATCTTTCCGTGATACTATAGGATTAGTGATAATCATGCGATTCCTTTTATAGATGCGGATTCCATCTCCTCCTTTTACCCGAGCAGTTAGTGAAGAATATTTCGAATCAGCAAGCAAGCGGCCAATTTTCCGATCATCTTCTGCGTCATTGCTCAGGCTGTGATCTTCCTGGCTACATTTGCATGACTTGCATATTTTCCTGTGGGAGACAAATGAGGTCATATTTTGATATAAGCTGGGCCCTCATAGGTATGTGCTCTTTTGGTGGCTCAAGGGTGAACTTTAGAATAAACAGTGAAGGTTATATATCAAAATGGATGACACAGAATAAAAGATCTTTGTGGTCAAATACTATCCAGAAAGAAAAATCTGTAACGAGGATTAACAGAATTTGCAATGGTGTAGAACATAAGACTGTAAAAAGCCACATTGCCAAAACCCTGGAGGAAAAGCCGTTCAGTGACTGAAATTCTGAGATTTACATAATGGAAAACGTTTAGTGATTAAATTTCAATACCTATATTAAACACCCAGTGGCATGAAGGGGACACGTAAATGCAGAATTTTTAGCAATCTAATGAAACAAACAAAATGGGGGAGTTTCTTGTTCTGTTTGCAATTATAAAAATAGACTATCCCTCCTTTCACACCCACACCCCCCCCCACCAGATATTAAAATGCAAGCAAAATGATTCTTCACCATACTTCAACTGAAAACATTCATGGGGGCAAGATTCTTTTTAAAGCTAAGACTGCAAAAGGCTTGAACTCTTGCTTCATAGCAGTGTGTGAGGATCAGCCGAGTAACCTTTAGCTGCTGTCAAACCAAGTGGGGAAGAAGGGATGAAGGAGAGAGGTATTTTTATCTTGATATTGGTGCAATTCAGTAGCATTAAACAAGGGTTTGATTGTATGATGGCTACAGCAACAATTCATAAGATGCTACAGCATAAAATTTCAATAAGCAAATGTAACAGTTTCTATTGGTGAAGACTGGGGAAAGTACATGGGTAAACTCACAAGGTAAGTAATGCTATACCTTTGACACAGGGTGCCATTTTTAACCTCAGCTCCCTGCTTTGTTACCCTCAACAGTTGCAATACTTGTAACCTACACATTGATCCAATATACAAATACGACTGGAGTAACTAACTGAACATATCTTCATTATTTCTGATTTTGTATCTGAAATTATGACTTGCAGACTCACAATAAGATTGTGGATGGTGTTAAATCAGCTATGTACATTGTGCTAAGCTGTATGATGGTTTCTTCAATTTTGGCTAAACATGATACCTGAATCAAATTAAGCTGACCAATTTTCTTTAAAAAGTGGAATAAAAATCTAATCATCATCATCATCATCTGGCCACCGTAGTCTGTAAGCTATAGTTTATCAGTTATTGTTATATACAACCAGGCCAGCCATCCAAGGTTAAAACGAAGCATTTATTTCTGATATTTATACCCCAACCCAAACATTAAACATAAAAAACTAAATAAATAAGAGCACATAAACAAGGCACTTAAGAACAAGAGCCAAAAGCACATTCAAACAGAATAATTTTAATAAGCAAGGTTGGGACTATCAATACTTCTGGTAGGAGAGCAATTCAAAGAGAGGAGGACACTACTGCGAAAGTCCATGTCCCATGAACTTTGTAAGGCGGGGGGGCTCAAGAAGCACCTTTTAGATGCCTGGATTCTGTGCTGCAAGTGATTACTTGATATGCGATGCTGTAGTACATACAGCTTTAAAGATAACAACTGGTCTTTCAAATTGGGCCCAGAAGCATGCCAGTAATGCAATGACTTGAGGATTGATGTTATTGTAAGCTTGTGGGGTTCTCCTACCAGTAATCTAGCCACTGCATTTTACACCAGCTGTAGCTTCCAGATTGTCTCCATAAGCAGCCTATTTAAAGCACATTACAGAAGTCCAACTGGATGATAATCAAGGTGTGAATTATTGTTGCCAAGGAATCCTGATTCAACAACGGTTGTAACTGGTACACTAGATGAAGCTGGGTAAAGCCCCCACTGGCCACAGCTTCCACCTTCTTCTTTAGCTGGAGCCAAGACTTCAGGATGACCCCCACATCACGAATCACCTCCTCTGGGGAGATTGCAACCCTGTCCAGAGTAACTCTTTGGACTGACATTACCAAGTTGCCCTGTTGTTTATTGGTGAACAACAGCTCTGTCTTGGTTGGATTTCACCTAAGCTTGCTTTGGTCCATCTAGATCTTCACAACCACAAGATGCTGGCTCAGGACTTTATGGCATCCCTGTTGTAAACCAATTAAGAATCAAGATACTGTCTAATCCTCAACACCCAAGGATTCTCTAGATTTTAAGTCTTCATTTCTCCTTTTGGAATGATACGCAGCATTATTTTGGAATTAAAACTCCTACAGAGCTTTGCTGTTTGCAGAGGTTGGTAGAAATTGAAATCTGTACAAGGTTGCCTGTCCTCATATTAGGGCAAGATCTGATCTTTAATATCTGCTTACTGTCCACTGTATTACATTTTTTAGATGTTTATAAGCTACCTCATAATAAAAGCCAAATAGGAACACCTCTAGAAGTGTAATGAAATTCAAACTTCAATCTAAAGTGGATTAGAGTGGACAACTCTGGTTCATAGGCTGCCTATGGGCCCCAGTCTCCATTTTGCAGCCTTCCCAATATACCTCCTAACTCTGACACTGTGGTACAGGCTTTTTTATTTTTTTTGTTCCCAAATATCCAGGTTTAATGCACTGACCTTTGTATTTTAAAATGCCTTAACCCCCTAAATAGCAGAAGGAGTAGAAGAACCCCAAATATTTTAGCCTTGACCCCAGGGATATAATCAGACTCTTGGAAACAAAAGAAGAAACATGGCCCCCAGCCCCCCAAAATGCTGCCTGATTTTGGTTTATTTCATATCTTACCAGTGAACATTTTAGGTTAAAACTTTATGGGTTTTAATACAACAGAAGAAAGTTTAAGCTACTGATTATATCTAAATAGATTATTCTGAATCTACACTATGGCTGAAACAACAAGAATCTGATGCAGATTTCAGAGAGGATTATCTCTATGAAGATTCAGCAAAATAAAAATAAACTAATTCACCGTACAAAAAAGTACTAAATATTCAAAAATACAAATTTAGAAGAATTTTTCCACAGCTATGTTATTTGTAAAAGACATTGGCATGTTTGAACAGTACAAAAAAGTGAACGTTATTGTCATGGAAAACTCACCCCAAAAGCACACAAGCAAACAAATATAGTTACAAACTAATTCAACCTCAGTTCTTAGTCCAATTCACCACAACTATATATTTCAACATTTAATTCTGTAAACAGTTCCTCACCTGAAGTCATTCAACTGGCTAATGGAAAGCCAAAATGGCTTCTCTCCTGCAGATCATTGTGCTTGACACATAAATGCTGGCAGCATAGCTTATATACTAGTTGCAGGGAAATGATGGTAGGAGTCTCTTGTCCTCTAGTTCAAGGATGTGAGCTTCCTAGTATGTGGAGTAGAATGCTGGAATAAATGGGCCTATGATATGATCCAGCAGGGCTCTTCTTATGCTCTTAATGCCTATACAGAAGTGAATGCTTTCAGCTGACATTGGTGAGGGCGAACGGGGCTTAAGCCGAGTGTTCACATGGTGAACATTCCAGTTTTATAACACTTGAATGAGGCTATAGGCTCTCAGGAATACGTATAAAAGAATATTTGTTCCAACTGGACTTGCCAAACCTCAGTCCAGAATTCTCTACTAGTATTACAGAATAAGTGCAAATGGCTTCTTTTTTGGATATATGATCTCCTGTCCACTTCCAAGGTACTTCAAGTCAATGTGATTATATTTCACTTATGAAGTAAAAATAGCATGCAGAGATTTTTAGAAAAACACCGTTAAGGACCAAGAAATCATTTCAGTGTCAGTTCACAATTCCGTTCTGCAAATCAGTTCCTCACCCTAAATAGAAGTGTAAGAAATAACAAAGGTATAGAACTATATTTATCATACAGCAACAGGATGTGTATTTTTGTTTTCTGCAGCCTGTCACAGGTACGTCACTGTTCCTAGTCCCTGAAATCAGCTGCCAAGGGGTGCCTCAGTGGTAGGGTTACTTCTGGGCCTGGTTTGGCTTTCAAAAATACCAAAATGTATTCACTCAAGTTTACATTTTTCAAGTGTATGAGCAAGATCTCGAAATCCTAACATCTGAACAGCAAACCTTAACCAAAGAAAGTTGTTTGATGCTGATTTATGTTCTAAAATAGAGGCGGTCACTCTGGGCCACATGTAAACATTTGGAGGCAAAGCACAGAAATTCAACAGTGTGATTTTTTTCATTGAGAGAAATAAGACAGGTTCATCACACCTTATTTAATTAACCATACTCCAAAGTTAAATGTCATCTTTGCATTTCACTGTTACACCTCTGCAGTTCTCAGAAGTCAATTTGTATTTCTTTTTTTTAATATAGCCTGCAGCTACAAAAGATTGTCTGTATCAAAGCTCAGACTTCAAAGAAAAGGTCTGATAAGTAAATTCTAGTCCTGGTAAGAAACAAAGACACACCCAAACAATACAGAATATCCTGCAGTGTGGAAAATAGTTTGCGATGCAACAAAGGGAATGACTACCTAGGAATGAGAAGAACAAGAAAAAGAAGCATTAATGAAAACATAAACTTCATTTAACTTGTATAGGCCAAGCCCCAACTCTTGAATACTTGATGACTTTTACTTCCTGGATAATTAAATCAGCCAGTTTCAACCTGCATTTTTAGTGTCAGAGATAGCTAATGCCTGATAAAAAGCTATGTGGCGTCTGTTTCTAAAAGAACCAAGATTTCATTCATTCTTTAATACTCTATCCCAATTTCGGATTATATGAACAATTATCACCAAAAATCCTATTCATTCTTATTTGTGTAAATAGGGAAAGGTGGAATTGTTAGAGTGTGGAATGACTCCTCGGCTCTAAATGGTTCTAGATTTAGCTCCATATCACAATATAGACCAAGCTTATTTGGGAATGACATCTCAGCTCTAAATGGTTCTAGATTTAGTTCTAGATATCACAATAGACACCAGGCTTATTTGAGAATATCCATATTATATATTTCAAAGCAAATGGCAGCATCTGGCTGATTCTGTCTGAACTTGAAAGCTAAATATGCTGG